TTTTTTTTTTAGGGCCAAGAGATTAATTGTTAGTTGACAGATTACCATTTACAGCATGATAGTATCCAGTATGTGGTTGGAGTGACAGGCATTTGATATGTGTATCATCTAGTCCAAGGCTGAATTTTATAAGATAGCCAACTGACTTAAAAATATGAATCTGCTTACTTGATTGGTCTATATCCTATAGCAGATTATATTCTGCATTTTAGTTGCCACTGAATTTCCAGTCTGGTTAGACAGCATTTATTTTATTTGCTGACCAGTTAACTTGGTATATAAATACTGTATGTGATGTATGAAATACTCTAATTAGATTTATTCTTCAATTCATGTCAGTAATGCTTTGTGGTTGTCTTGTCTTTGCCTTTTCTTGCAGAGAGATGATTCAACACAGGCCCTATACACAAAAAGTAGATGTGTATAGCTTTGGAATTGTGCTTTGGGAGCTTATCACTGGTATGCTTCCTTTCCAGAACATGACAGCTGTGCAGGCAGCATTTGCAGTGGTGAACAAGGGTGTAAGACCTGTAATCCCAAGTGATTGTCTGCCTGTGCTAAGTGAGATCATGACCCGCTGCTGGGATGCTAACCCTGAAGTCCGTCCTCCATTCACCGAGATTGTTAAGATGCTTGAGAATGCAGAAACAGAGGTCATGACAACTGTTCGGAAGGCCCGCTTCAGGTGTTGCATGACTCAACCAATGACAATGGACTGATCCAGAATAGAAGACAGATGATAAAGGAGAGGATATAAATGAAACACAGAAGCAGTAAGAGTTTACATATAAGTTTGTGTATGTATCAGTACTTTTTTTCCCTTTCTTCTCTGGATAGGAGAAGGCAACTATTCAGACTACTGGTTTGGGAATGTTGGTGTCAATTGTACTGAACTAGCGATGTTTAAGGCTGTACTCCTTGTAGTTGTAGTTGTTTGGGAGCATTGATGTGGTTTCCCATTGTAGCTATATTTGTATAGGGCCTGCCATATCTATAACCGTTTATTGTTCGAATGCAGGTTCTCTATTGGATCGATATTTACTTGCCCATTTTCTGTTTTCTTGTTCCCCTGCTGATACTGCTTGTATTGTATTCTATGGAATGCCATCTGCTTTCTGGATATATATTTTGTTTGGATGCCAGCTTACCCGCTTTGTAAACAACTACCACGAAAGCCCGGCTGTGCAGTCAATGCCGTGAAGCAGGAGTGATCGGGTCCCTGGGGTTTCATTGACTTGTTTAAATTGTTTATCTTCCTCTCTTTATGTGCCACTTTAGATGCCAACCATGCACCATGAATATCTTTCCTTAAGATGTACTCCCAAGGGCGTCATAGTGATTAAGAGCCATGTAGGAGGTTTCAAATCCTGAAATAAACAGGTGAGGTTCGAGGAGATTTTATCTCCAGTTGTGTAGTTCTATTCCTATTAGTTTAAAACATTCTTACTTTGAAATCTATCAGATTTGGTATCCATGAATCATTTCCTTCTAAAATATGAACAAATATCATGTTTCATCCAGCATAAAGCACCCAGAATGTGTTCCTATATGAAGCGGTCACATGTTACAACGGTAAGGGTGGAACGAAGAAAAAGAATACCAAAATTGACTCGAGGTTAGATCCACTCAAAGGACGCCAACAATAAAACTAGAAAAACACATAAAAAAAGGGTGGGGCTTCCTGCAGCAGCCCTGCTCTGGTGCTAACGGTAATACATGAGCTGTTGACCCGAGGAAGAGTTAGGATATGCATCATACATCACCTGAGCTCAAACCCATTGAGGTAGCAGCCAGGCTATGTCCGGTCATCTGCATAAGAGCTTGGCCTGAAAGGCCAGATGCCACAGCTTGGCTTAGGCAAGTTGGCGCTGGTAAGCTAACAGTTCAGCTGCTGAATAGCCTTGGTTCATAGCAGCAGATGGTAGGATCTGAAATGGTTGAATACGAGGAGGTAGAGGATTTGAAGCTGTCCCAGGAGGAGTTGGCTTGCTGCCCCACGAGCACTGTATCAATAGGTGTATGTACATCACACATTTATCCAAATGGTGAACATCGATGCTTCTCATATCCACAAGAGAACCAAAAAGAACTTAAAAAGAGAGCAGCATCCTATCTAATGAAAAATCTAATGAGATCATGTGTGTGTGGTCCAGTCAAATGTGAACGCTAAAGTGCCCATGTTGAGGTCTCAATGTCAAATGACAGGACGTGGGGGGAAGGAAAGGGGTAGGCTCAAAAAATGAGCAAAGAAAAATTTTCATTCCTAACTCCTAAACAACTTGTGAGGAATATAAACGAAGCAAGTGACACAGAAAGCAAGAATTCTCTTACCTTCATGGGTTTCCCATTAAGTATCCTGCCATTGGCCATCTGAATGGTTGCTGCTGCTTCTTCATGAGTGTTGTATCTGACAAATCCAAAATCTTTCTCCCTCTGAATAGTCACTTCCTCAATAACCCCAGCACCGAGTGCATGAAACTGGCAATGAAGCGCTGCTTGAGTTACCTGAATAAACAGATATACTAACCAACAAGTCAAGGAAAAAGCATAGGGATAGCAACAAAAATCACTTGCACACAAAGGACATACCATCACTGTTCATAAACACAAAAAAAAGAAAAAAAATCCTAGAAGGAAAAATAGACTGATGCACAATAATTAGAAACTTAATGAAGACAACCCAGGTAATATCATCCTCTCATTACCTCATGGGAAAGGTTGCCCACATAGACAGTGGTGTATGCAGGATTATTTTCAGGGGCATCTTCCTCAGAATTCTCCTTAGCACCATTTACAATACAAACAAAGAAAGGAAAAATCTATTAGGTCCCCTCTACACATAGTCAGAGTCTTGCCTGACATATATTGTATTGGCACAGATCAAGTAGGCAAGTTCAGGTTTCAGTCAGGTTCAGAACTTCACAATAATTTCAATGCTCAGGAAGTCAATAGTGAGTTGGAATCCTTTTCTAATTAGAGATTCTTGTGGTTCCAGAGGATCCAGATCCAATTTCAATACCCTACCAATCAATACTGAAATTGGCAGGCTTCTGCCTAGTGCTTAAAGCAAAATGTAACAACGGTCTTTTCACAGATCAATTTTCCTGGGTTAAGCATTCACAGTATAGTATTCAGAAGTAACCAGGACCCATGCCAATAATCAGTGTAAAATCCATAGAGGAAAACAATGCCCCAATCTTCTGGGAGTCTTACTACCTAATGGAACCCATTAAATTGAAAAGACTTGCACTACCTGAAGATCCTTTGGTAAGCACCACAGCATTTTCATTGTCACTTTTAGTTGCCCAGTTGCATCTGATTTGCCTATTGCCAAGCCATTTACCTACAATTCCAAAAGCAGCCTGGATCAAATCTTTTTGCAGTTACACTTTACAGAGTTCAAAATTAACGAAATTGGGAATCAAGTGCCAATGATTTTCCAGATGCCTGACCAGTTAAGTCATTGATAGCTTTCTGTGCATCCTGCAAAACAATATATAATTGGATCAAATTAGTTTACCAATTACTTCCATTTCCTATAGGAATTTTCCCCAAATGCTAATTATAAGATCTGGAATGTTAGTGAACTCATGCATATCATGCTTCCTGAATTAGATAAAGATTAAAGAGTACATGGAATTCTGGCATGCCTAGTGGAATTAGATAGTCATGTAATAAGCAGAGCAAACTACCAAGGTAAAAATTACCAACTTTGACTAACTTCCATAAATACACATAAAAAGAACTATGCTTTTCATTTTAATCAAGAGTAAATCGTTTTATTACTCAGAAAGCTTATTTAAAATTTCTATGCAAGGAGGTAGTAGCTAAAGAAATTTATTTACTTCCTATAACCCCACTTGAAGGAAAGATAACTGCTAGGGCTTAAGCACCTTATTTAACTTCCTTGTTTGATGTCACAATTCAAACGCAAATCCAGATAGGATAATGTCTGTGGAATTTGCATTCACAAATAGAGCATATTATAAAAAGAAAAAAGAAAAAATGTTACTTCCAATGTGCGACCACTTACAAGGCAAAAAAAAAAGAAAAAAGAAACAAGGGGAAACAATATACCTGCTGATTTCGGAACGAAACAAAGCCATATCCTTTTGAGTGTCCAGTTTGATGATCCCACATGACCCTTGCATCACTGAGAATGGTTTTAGAAACAAAATGCTATTATAAGGAAAATATACACATTCTACAAAGTGGAGGAAAAAGAAAAAAAAAATGGTATGAGGTTGGCGTAATTCAAGAACAGGAAAATGAAAAATAAAGAACATGTAAAGCAATTAGGAACTTACAAACAAATAGTATACACTGAGAACCATGCATAAAGAGTTGCATCGGTAACCTCAGGACTTAAATCACCAACAAATATATTGAAGTGCCCTGTTAAGATTGTAAAATTGTACCACAATTTCATAGAAACACTCAGCAATCAACAGTTGTACAATAGGAGAAGAAA